CTATTTCAATTTGCAATAGCCAATAGCAAACTAGCTATTGCACCCGCCCACTGCGGTTGTCAATCAGCTGAGGGGACCTGCAGTTCTCCATCAGGTCCCCTCTAGTGATTGACAGCAGCAGAGGGCGGTGCAATAGCTAGTTTGCTATTGGCTATTGCAAATTGAAATAGCCAATAGGAATCTAGCTATGCATTCCTATGGTGAAATTTGTTGTTTTTTTTTTACGGCAGCAGAACCGCTCGGCCAATAGAAAACAGTTGGGTGGAGCTAGCTGTCGCTGCTAGCTCCGCACAATCGTTTTCTATTGGTTTTTTTTCTACTTTTTTAACTATTTTGCTATTCTGCTCGGTGTCACAGAGGGACTGAGCGGCATTCGGCTATTTACTCACTGCTGTTCGGCATCTATGAGAATATGCCGAACAGCAGCGAGTAGCCTGCTGGAGGTTCGGCGTAGCCGATCCAGATGTTGGATCGGCTGAGTCGAACTCCTTCTGCACTTCGGGACCCGAAGCCACACGAAGCCACCCGATGTACGGCTGATTTCAGCCGATATACAGCTGAAATCAGCCGTACAAACCTGAAGTGAATAGCCGAACAGCGTTCGGCTCACTTCACTTCGGGTCGATTGTTCACTCGGCTGTCTACGGCAGCTTAGTGAATAGACCCCTAAGAGACTTAGTTGTGGTTGATTTACTAAAGGCAAATAAGCTGTTCACTTTGCAAGGCGATTTCCCCTTAACTTAGTAAATGAGGCAAAGTTCTGTTTTCTTCCATCACCCCATTGTGTCCAAATAAAAATACTGTTTTTTTTCCATTTTCTTTGAACGTGATTGGATATTCTGTGCATAGTGAATTTTCCCCACATTCACTAAGCTAAGGGACAATTCCCTTACAAATTGAACATAATATTTGCATTTGGTAAATCACCCATACTGTCTGGATGCAGAGCCCAGTGTACAATCCTGGCATCTGTGTCTGCTGGGAATTGCGATTATCCAGTTACTCCCGTGTGTTAATGCGGGACCTACATTATAAAGCTGGCCAATGAAGAAGAAAGAAACTTTGGACCCAGAAGAAGATGGGAAGAAGGTGTTGGTAACAGCGATGGAGCAATGTGGACCTTGCTTTACTGGACAAGGGCTCACTGAATGGCAAGTTTGCAATAATGTACAAAACTAAATAATAGGCTGGGTTCACACCTGGGCGTATTTTTTCTGCTCGTTTTTCATCTCATTTTTTTCGCGTTTTTTAGCAAGTTTTTCCGTTCAGTGAAACGCTCGTTTCACTGGCGGTATGATTTTTTTATTTTTTCCTTATTTTTTTCACTTTCAAACTTCCCGCCGGCTGCGCCGCCCTGCAACCCGGCAGCTCGCAAGGGATGGAACCCGGACGTCGGCAGCCGCCAGAGGATACTGCAGGGATCGCGGCTCGGGGTTACCGCTTTGTTAACCCCGATCCACACTCGGGAATACCAATAGAAACGCGCGGAAAAACGCTCCAAAGAAACACCTGTACTTCTTTGGGCGTTTTTCAGCGCGTTCCTACGCGCTGAAATACGCCCAGGTGGGAACCATGTCCATAGGAAAGTATGGCATTTCACTTGCTGGGCGTTTTACAGCGCGTTGATCAGCATTGTAAAACGCCCAGGTGTGAACCAGGCCTAAGACTGACCAGTTATGGTATTTTTCCCACACAAGTGTGGTGATTTACTGAACCAACAATTTTAACTTCATGTGAGTTGAACCTGTATTTGCTGCAAAAATCCAATCACATGTGGAAGTTCCTTGTTTAATTTTGTAAATCAACCCCAGAATTTCAGATTAGGCTATATCTACAATGTACCGTTTTCTCAAAGTTTTCCAGGCTGAATTCATTTGGCTTTGGGAAGAATTCGACTTTATGCATGCGGCCAATGTTAAGGATGATGTTAGTTCCTTTCTTCACACAATAGCCATCGATTACATCGTCCTCCAGAGCCCTGCGCATGACCAAGTCTACCACGGGCTGGTACCTCATGCTTTCATAGATGAAGTTCTCCAGAAATTTAAGGTTTTGCATGTCATTACTCTGTACTTCTCGGTCTCCTGGGAAAATAAACAGAGAAAGTACTGACAATGTAATAAACTTACCTACAACATCCATATCAAACCCATTACTAAGGAGAGACTGAAAACCTATTTCCATTGTTTCTGTGGACGTGTTTTAACACACTAACTTTAAACTAGAATTATAGAAAGCCTATACACACAAACAACATTGCCTTTATGTGATTATTATATCACTTGCAGTACAGTGACATTAGTGCTGTGCTAGGATACTTGATAGTAGAAAAGCTCTATTGTCATTCCTCTCACCTCTCTAGATTCCATCACAAATAAATCTAATATTACCATTACCAGTAATTCTCACACAATGAAAGTACTACTTACTTGTTTTATCATTTAGCAGCTTCTTTGAATGCAGTTTATTATACATTTTATATGGTTTCATTCAGAACTTGAAAACTCATGAGTGTGCTGTGGTACGCAGCTCAATCATTTAACTGGGCTGCCTTCCGCAGCTAAATCACATTGTACATGCACCTTTTTTTAAATCCCATTTCACCACATTACACAAGTTACCATGCAATGTGGTGCGATACAATGCACATGTGATGGCTAGGTGCATTGAAGTGCTATCAAGAAACCTAACGTTGTACCTAACATTGCAACAATGCAATTTGGGATAGATATAACCAGAGGCTAAGTGTAGTGAGCTATTTTCCTTATAATAAATGATGTTACATTCTTGGAAGCATGTAATCCTCTTTAAATTGAGTATGACAATTTTGAAATACTGCCAATTGGCAGAAGTGCTATTATTTCTCTGCTTTATATCCCAGTGCTGCTTTGTAGCCAAGTTTGTCACTGCATTCGAGTGCTATATACTATAAAAACAAATATATCCTTATTGTAGCAGTAAAACAGGTGGATTGTTTTTGAGGAGTAAATGATATATATTTGCCTTCAGTGACTAGAAGGCAATCATCCACCTTTTTGTAAGTGAGACCTTTTTACTGTGCTAAGGACATCTGAGAACTTTAGCGTTTAGCTCTTTCAGGCGCAATGTATTAAAATATGGACCACGGAGACAATTTACTGCTCCTTCTGACACTTTGCTCAGTACATGCAACTGAATCTATCATAAACATTTTCCTGGGGAACAGTTTTACACAGTGAGCCTGATTTACGAAAGGAGTTGAGAATCTTCATTCAATAAATTGAGTAAAGATTCACTTCCACTATTCAATAAAGTGATAAGCAAACTTTTTTTAATTTATCTCACCTGCACATAAGGCCCCATTCACAATAGGGTGTGTGAATAGGGCCTTATGTGCAGGTGCGTTACAGGAACATGCGTTCCTGCATGTTTGTGGGATTTTGTTTCCCATGTTTTCGTGCAGTCCCATTGATCCCCATTGGGTCCCTGGACACGCGGCAATCACGGAAAAGAAGTACATATCGCAAATTTGATGACATGCGTTTCAGTTTTTTTCTGTACATTTGTGCGCATTCTCATGCGCACAAACGCATGTGGAAAGACTACATATGCTCAGACGCGTTTGGGATGCCATTATGGCAACACAAGCACGCTCCTCATTTGTGAACGCACGTTGACAATGCGCCCTGGTGTGAATGGGGCCTAACTGGTTATTCAAAGTGAACACAGCTATATTAAGTGAAGATTATCCACTCCTGTAGTATATTAGCCTCAATGCATCTGGGAAGCATTATGCTCTGTTCACATCCATGCAATGTGGGAGCATGTGTGATGCCTCACTCATTCCTGCATCATATGTTGTAATTTTAGGTGCGATGTAGTGTGATTATGTCTTAATGGCACCCCAAACCACCTAGCCATCGTATGCGCATTGTATGGCACCACATTGCATAGTAACCTATTACCATGCGATGTGGTGTTATGTGACTTAAAAAAAAATACATATACTTCTTTTAGTGTGATGTAGCTGCGGTAGGCAGATGATTCATATGAATGGGCTGCCTACTGCAGCACACCACAAGCATATCCTGCAGGACCTATGTGATGTTGCATGTAGTTACATGCAGTTTTAGGGTCTAATTAGTCTGACAAATATACAGAATGTTTTCTTCCTGTATACAAAAGTTCTCTGATCATGAATATTTGTTTTTCATCAGTAGGGAGACTAATCTGTGACTTAGCACCCACGTCTTATCAACTTTCATGTAAGGGCAGAAGGGATGTAAGGGTTATACGTCAGGGTGTGAAATTAACCATGCTTAAGAAAAGGTTTTTTTAGTGGAGGTGCGGCAATAAAAACTCAATTAACTGAAAAGGTATCTATGGCAGTATGTTCCTGTCCTCTAACATTCCTTCTTAGCATGACTGATTCCGAAGTTGGGCAGCCCACAGCTTTTTCACAGAAGTGAATGAGTTGGCTTGGGGACAGAATTGTTCTTTTCCGAAAAACCTCATTAATTATGATGCTTTGCCCAGGTCTGCATGAGAACCAGTGAGCTGTACCTTTCCTCCCATATTAGCTCTTACCAATAATTATTATGTATTAGCAGAGGAAACACCCCTTTAAAGAACAAGATATTTGTATGCTTCAAATGGGCAGTCACCATTCTGTAAAAAATTTCTCCATATGAAGTAGCGGAAGCCTTTTAATGTTTATAGTAAAATACTTTCATGCTTAAGTCGCTGAGCATCTTAATGTATATAAAGCAAGGCTACAAACTGTTTAGAAACAGAACTAAGCTAGCATTTTGCTATTGAATTGCATTTGCATTAAAACATAGCAATGCCTATGACAATGCAATGTATTGGAAAGTTCTAATCTAAAATAATAGCTGCCTTAAAGCACTTAATGGATATTAAATGGCACAAAGTCACTTTTGTGGCTTTTAGGGTAAAAAAAATTACCATAATTTCTGCATTTTCATTTTTTTCCCATAATTTCCACCTGTTTATAAATGATGAGCAGAGATGAGCAAACTGATCTTGTGGACTGAGATCCAGCAGTGGGGTAAATCAAGGACAGCAGATATCTGCAAATATTGAATGATTTGCTTGTCTCAGTACACCATTGACTTTTGCTTTTTAGTCTTGTCCTATTCTTTGTTTTTTGTTTGTTTTTTTATTAATAGAAGTGTATACCCCTTTCAAAGATACCAGTTAAACAAACAATGTTTATAGACTAGTACAGCTAAGGCTGTGGTTCCGGGCTCAAGCTAGTGTCTTAAGAGGAAGGGGATCAAAAACAAAATAGGACATTGGCCGAGGTGGTTTAGGAATAAGAGGATGGAGGCTTTAGTTTTCCTGAGCTAAGCCTATTCACAGCTGTACCCACTTAATAGAAATCAAAGATGAGAAATATTGGTGTATGTCCAGTTTGGAAAAATGAGCAGACAACATAATGTGCAATTATTGACATAATGAAGATCAGAAGATTCAAAAAATGAACTTTGTATTCATAGGACTCAGTTAAGGACAATTAAACACCACCTGTACATGAAAGAATGAAGATTTTCTATCAGTTTAGGTAGGGAGCATTTACAGTAGGAGTGGTTGAGCTAGAGAATGATATACGACCTTTTAACAGAGACACAAAATTGAAAACACAATATTTTGATCCAGGGAATAGATCCAATTGACTTCGAGAGGTCAGTGGGAATTGTTTTTTAACTGCTCGGTGGCAACGTTGTTAACAGATGCCGGGGGTTTGTGTTGCCTTTCTCTGGACCACAGCTGTGGCAGATGCAAGAGGTTAAACTTGATGGACAGCACTATTTTTGTAACCTTAATTAGATAACTATGCCTGAAAGACAACACTGTCCCACATAGATAACTATGCCTGAAAGACAACACTGTCCCACATTAAACGTTTTAGATACTGGAAGATAAAATAGTACATCCAAAAAACCTAAATGCTACTAACTGACAAATTACAACCAGCAGACAATTTTTCAAATAAAATAAAAACACATTGGTAATGAACTGAACAAATATGACAACTATTAAAGGGAACGAGGTCTGATCCACAAGCATTGTGTTGGATACACAGGTTCATGATGCAAATGAATGTTCTTTTTCTGCAACAGTTAAGTTTCCTTACCAACAACAGTGTGGATTTCTTCCATGATCATCTCTTCAGCCTTTGGATGCTGAGCGATTAGGGTTAGCATGAAGTAGAGAGACACTGACATGGTGTCCGGAGCAGCGATCAGCATTTCCACAATGCTCTGGTTCACATTCTCGGCTGTTAGATCTCCATGATTCTGCAACAGAAAAAACTTTCAATAACACTTGATCACTGACACTCTTTTTTAAATAAAAAAAAAATATAATATAAAACTTGAAATGTATTTTTAGGTAGGTGTTTGCTTGCAAACTGCCACATTGTCACTCACATGAAGAATTCCCAAGGAGGGATTTAGTGAAGTGAAGGTCCCACATTGCCTCTTTAGCTGTAATCATGCCTATTCAAAGAGGTAGCCGAAGTCTCACGCACCCCACTACTAAAATCAACTGAAACTATTTACTGAGTGGATGGGATGGGACCAGTGCTGATCGCTCTTCAAAAGCCAAGCAACAACATTGTATGTGATTTTACATTATAAATCCCATGCAGCAAAAAATAAAACATATAAATGCCTCATGTGCCTTTTTGTAATGTACTGTTAAAAACAATTAACTATCTAGGTAAATCTGCAGCCATCTATCATTTTCTAAAACTGGTATTCATTTTGAACATAGACTCCTTAGAGAGTGCTTATATGCCGTACATTCTAAAAATATCTTGTATATCTATAATATCATTGTACAAGTTCCATCGGACTATATCTTCCTTCTTATGTGATTGGCTCACAGCTATTCTCAGCAGTCCTCTTATTACAAAACTGGTACTATTCATGTGACTATAGCAGAAGGACCCTTCCACTTTACACTCAGGCAGTAGGAAATGAGAGGAATTCATTTGGGAGTCTTCATACAGATGGCAGCAGGTAGGAGTTTACAATAAAGCATGCTTAAAGTGGCACTAAACTCGGGAGTTAAATCTTAAAAATGCATTCAAGTATCCTAATTATTACCAGAAATATAGCTTATTTGTGTATCATTCAGCTGTAGATTCTCAATCATCTCTGAATTCATGCTGACACTGTCCTTCCTTCTGGAGGGTGGCTACTTTTGTTTCCCATGGTTTCTGTGCGTGTTGTAAAGTAGTCACCGCTCCATGCTCGCTCCTGTGATGGACTACAATCTCAATACAAATGAGTAAACTAAACATGAGATTGCAGTCCATCATAGGAGCGAGTTTGGAGTGGTGGATACTTTACAATACACACAAGGACCATGGGGAACAAAAGTAGCCACCCTCCAGAAGGAAGGACAGTGTCAGCACAAATTCAGAGATGATTTGAGGATCTATAGCCGAGTGATACACAAATAAGATACATTTGTGTTAATAGTTAAGGTACTTGAATATATTTTTAAGATTTAACTCCTGAGTTTAGCGTCACTTTAAAAGTGGTGTGTGCTAGCACTTTATTGGGACATTAGCTAGGGTCCAGTAAGCTACCTCTAATTATGTGTACCCCACTAGTGACTGTTTTACTGCATATAAAAAATGTAGTTACATGCAGCCTTTGCTAGTGATGTCACTGAGGAAGTTCCATCTGTGAAACTGAAGGTTGATTACAGCGGGTTGCTCGCTTTGCAGCTCCTCATAAAACGTCTTATATTTTTTTCAAACAATACAAGGCATTCTGTGATTGCACAAGGAGTGTATAAATGTCATGATCTCCCATTGTGACTGCTGTGCTCCAGCCTCGACTGTCAGTTTCACTGCCGGAACTTCAGCGATGACATCACTGAGAGTGAATGTAATTAAATATTTCAAGAAAGGAGCAGCAGCCCCCAGTGGGGCACAAATTATTAGAGATACATTATTGGTACCTAGCCAAAGCCCTAATAATGTGTTAACCCACATTTCAGGTTTGTTTTTTCCTTCACCTTGATAGCACTCTGCTTTTGTACCAGAAAGACCATTTTGAATGTAAAAGTTTCAAGGTTATATAGAAGCCCTAGAAATAAATGGTAACCACATACATTTATAACCAGCGTTAGTAGCAGGGTGCACATGGGAAGGCTTACAACAATAGAAAAAACACAAAAAGAATCCCCAGCACACCTGCCAGCTAGCCTGCAACAAACAAGTTACCCTGCCAACAGTATGCGTTAAAAACAGAGGTTTTAGTTGCACAAACCTTTGGCCAAAAATATGTAGAAGCCACACTGCCCAATCAAGGCTCCTCTGTGAAGTGTGGTCCTAACTCCATTTATGAGTTTCCATGTTGGAGCATATTAATGCAGTCGATAAATTAAATGCAGGTGTACCTGGAGGTAGCCTACTCCTCCTCAAAAGGTGCAGGGACGCACTGGAGGCCCAGCAATCCAAAATGCACACTTGGGCCCCCAGTGCTTCAACTGCACCTTAAAATGCTCCAACATGGAGACTCATGAATAGAGTTAGGACCACACTTCACAGAGGAGCCTTGACGGGGAAGTGTGGCTTCTTCCTTTTTTTTTGCCAAAGGTTTGTGCAACTAAAACCTCTGTTTTTAATGCATACTGTTGACAGGATAACTTGTTTTGTTGCAGGCTAGCTGGCAGCTGTGCTGGGGATTCTTTTTGTGTTCTGTATTATATAGAGCCCTATTTTCTAGGCAAGACCTGATGACATGAGTCTTGTACTGGGGGGGTGACCATCAATTCAAGAATCTGCATGGAGTTTATTACTGTATCCACTTTAACTACTATTCTTTTTTAAATCTGCCAAATTTCTATATGTGTAATTGCACCTTAACAATATTAACAAAACTGTGATAGCATTTGGAATCATTGGCACTAGCTGCATACTGCTTTTATCATCCCTGGCTGCTTGCCAGTATGCAGCAGAAGCATCATTCACTCTGAACACATTAAATCATGTTTTTTTTACATTATTTTACATTTAAACTCTACACACCTGTGCAAAGATTAGCTCTGAAGCAAAATCAAGATTCTCATCCAGTTTGTCTGAAGCTGAAAGCTCCCGCCGCTTTTGTTCAATGAGAATTTCAACAGCCTCTTTCAAATCATTGCTACGGTACACAGAAAATAAGATTACTTTCAGAACCAGTGTAATTGTTTTTCAATTGGTACAGTTACATTCACTGTGGAAAGATCTTTGTTTAGACACTGAGGACTCACGCTGATTTCTCATACTTCTTGTAGAGCCAGGAAAATTTAAAGAAAATGTCAGGTTTCAGGATAAGCGCTTCCCATGCATCAAAGTATTTCTGGATCTTCAGAACAATTTCATTTTCTGAAAGAAAACAACATCTATGATGAAATCTGACACACATGTAAGGAATGTCCAAACATTCACAAGTTTATCATTTTTTGTATGCCAACCCCCCTTCCCCCATGGAGAATGGCAGACATGCATCCTGCATACAAGTGATCTTGGCGACATCGCCGAGATCACTTGTACAAAACAAGGGGTGGCTTCCCCGCTGTACATCTAGCTCTGCTTGCCCAAAGCAGGGCTAAATGTAGAAAACAGCTACCCGCCTGACGCCCGGAACTGCATGTCCCAGGCATCGGGAGATAGGAATTCCACACCCCTGCTGCCCCTCTACTCTCTGCTGCCCAGAGGCCGGGCCTTGGTTGGCCTTGTGGGAAATCCGGCCCTGGTACTACCTGGAGGTTTGACAAGGGGACCTTCATTCATATAAGGCATTTTGGATCCTTTGAACCCTCCTGAACTTTTTTTAACCTTTTTTTTTTTTTTTGGTCCCCCCCACCCCCTCATCCATTCTCGCCTCCTGGCTGCTGGACAGACAGGGGCTGGAGGAGGATGGACCTTGCGCTATGTCATTGGAAACTGGCTGCCTGAACCAGGAAGAAACAGCTGCCTCCCAATAACACCATAAAGGAAGATAGCGGTGCATGACCCGGCATGTGGCGGTGGATTGGTGGTTCACAGCAGGACATCGCTGGATTTGCTGGGCAAATAGTATGCTATTTGAGCCCAATGCAGCAGACAAGGTAAAAGGGGTTACAACCAAAGAACCCCTAGGGTGCAGCTCCTCTTTAGGTCCTACATATCCTACTTAGTACATCTTCGGTCAATGAGCAGTTAACCACAAATTACCTATCATTTACTACCTATTTTCACTGGATTGCATCAAACCTTTTTCCATAGTCATAAAGAATATTTCCAAGCTAGATGTGACCAGATTCACCAGAATAAGTTGAATTTGCTCACATCCAGACTAACATCTGGATTTCCCAAGATCCAAAAGAAGGGTAAAGGTACACAATCTTCTTCTGCAACTGTGTTGTGAAACTCTATGAACTCACTTAATTGGCCACAATGGTGGCTGAACTGTTCACCATTTCACAAAGCAAATCTTTGACTTTGTCATTGATGCCTCATTGTGCTCCATCCCACTAGCTCACTGCTGCACATATTCACCACACGTTCATTGCAGTGAAAGTGAGTGTTTTAGCATAACTTTTTCTCCAACTCCCAGAGCTGTTAATGAATAGCAGAGGCAAAAACTGACAAGTGAGATTTAATTAAGGCATACATTCACCAGTTTAATAAATACACCTCCCTTATTTGCCTGTAATAGCCTGCAGCAGCAGCTCTGCAGTTATATTTATTAACCTTTAGAAATTTATTGAGAGGTAGTTTTCTGTACTACAGTTCATCTTGCATAAATATGTCTATAACATATTTACTGTGTTGGCGCTGGTTGTAGCGTCAGTAACAGCAAAAAGTTTCCCAGCACGTCAGTACACTGCTATAATTACGTAACAGTCAATGAGCTTGTGAAATAAATCTGGGCACCTCACTAACTTTGAACATAGCTGATTAATTTTATAAAGCAAGCATAGTTTTATTATTTAGACTTACAGTGAGCTGATTGCCATGGCATTGCTTACTTCCTGTAACTAAGCTTTCTGCCCCTGCTATTCTGCACATGCGCTGACACCTGCCATAGAGAATAATGGCCAGCACAAGAGACTCTGGAGATACTCAAGAGACGTTCCATTATTTTCTATGGCAGGTGACAAAGCATGCCCACGACAGCAAAGGGGAAAAGCTGAGCTGTGAAATAGGGAAAATAATTACTGCATTGGGTTTCAATACAGTGTTTTGGCTTACATACCGTCTGTAGGAATTCTTAGGAAGAGGTTGTTAGAGGTGTCCAACATGACGAGTCTCATGAGCTTGAGCACATTTACATTCCCCTGTTGATCGGTAACATCACACATTTTTTCCAGGAATCGCTTGGTGGACCTAATGCAGTGTTCTGTAGCCTGGATAAGTCCAGGTCCAGACAGAGCTGAAAGATGAAGGATAGACAAGTAGGAAACTTATCTATTTGACTCTTGCGTGCCTAATTTCTGTATACCTCCAAATCAGTTAGTGGATATGAGGCACTAATTCAATATAGAGCAGTACAATTTTCCATAATTAACCAACTTCCCTGCAGATTTAGTTCATTAGTAGTTTTCAGCAAGCTTTCTGTAACGAGTTCTGTGACACACAGTACAGCATAAACAGCTAATAAACGAAGCTATTTCTGTAGCTCTGGCTGTGTGTGTTTTCTAGAATTATTTATATCAGTAAGAGGCAGCATTACCCACATCGTAATATTATCATGCAGTGTTTATACATAACCACACAGTTCTGTGGAGTGACCAGAAAGCCACCCATGCAATGATCACAAGTACCATGAGGTCTTTATATATATGTTTGTGGTCAGAGTTACTTCGGTTTCCGAATCTTCATGACCCCTAGTGATACCAACCTGATGTGTGCCATGATTTTGTGGTCAGCGTGCCAAATAAGTGGGCACGCTCTAGTGAAATGATAGAACCTGGGGAAGGGTGGGAGGGTCAGACGCGACTTCGCTGTAACGTGACGAGGAGCTCCCTGTCCCCCTTCTTAAGGGGAGGAGAGCCGGCGCAACTCCTCCCACAAACACGGCCAAGATACCTTGGCCTATTACTTATCACTGCTATATGCAAAACCTTAGTGCACAAGACTGGGTACATTATACCTACTTATTAAAACACTGACATTTTGCTGGATGCGTAGCATTTCCTAATCAGAAAGTATCCAGCTGAACAATGCGTATGATTATGGTGCAATACACTTATCTATATATTTCCTCAAACATGTAATTGTATAGATACTTAATTCAACTAAATTGAAGGGACGGCAGACCCAAATCACAGGTTGTGCTAGTGAAATAACTATCGTTTAGAGTTCTGGATATATATACAAACGTTTCAACAGCTTTTGAGAGATTTAAAGTCAACTCCTGCTAAACATGAATCTGACCGGCTACTAGAGCCAAACAGTACATAATGTGGTTAAAGAATATACAAGATACAATATACAAGAACTGCTCTACTTGTCAACAGATTTGGACATGAAGGCACATGATCTTTTGATTCTACTGCCCTTGCTGTGGTCTCTGGGTGTGCAGCTTAAAGCTATCCATATACTGGTAGATTTTTGTACAAACATTCATATGAAAAATGTTGTCAGAACTTCGCATAATGCCATCAGAGACTTGACAATTGTTGTTTGAAATTTCGTTTGATTTCAAGACATGATTTTGGAATAAATGGAATTTCTGGAATGAAAACCATATTCACTGTTAGAGTTTTGATCATTCAAAACATTTTCCACTTTGCTCCTTCTATTATTTTTGTCACTACACTCGAAAATTATTGCCAAATTGACCCCCACTAACCATTAGTAAATCAAACAAACTTTCCAAAAATTCTACTTGTCTATGGCCATATTAAGGAAGCTAATAAGAATATGCTAAGTCCGGCTATGGCTCTGTTGACTGCTAATAATCATGGCATACTGGTACACCTGCTCTCAGCAGTCTACCTCCTAACTGTCCATGAGATTACGGAGAAAGCACTCTGACTACATTTTGCAGTGCATGGGTTAGAATTCGCCTTGTACTAACAGAATACGTTTAGTATTGGGAGTAAGGATATACTGTATGTGTATTGATAATATAATATTCGGTACCTACATCACAAATTATTCAAGCATAATATATATAAAAAAATGACTTTTTGTGATACCTTAACATTGCACAACATCAGATTCAGTAAAACTAGATTGAAATTCTTAGTGTCACATTAAAAAAAAAAAAAATTACATAAAATTAATGGTATGATAGTTTATGCCAGAACACACACATGTTTCAGCATCAATACTCAAATATTCTATTGCTCTTCATGTAATCTTTACAAAGTTGCATGATTCTATACACGTTTCACAGAACAGTGTCACCCAACCACAAAACTAACCATAAACTACAGCCGCTTCCCGCTGGGAGAGGAAGCACATTGCTAACAAGGGTGAATTCACAGAGCTTTAACACAAGGATAAGGAGCTTTTTTTGAACCATGCAACCTTAATTTTCAAATAATATTGGACTCAGCTGAAAATAAGTATCCTCACCCTGGTATGTTCACTTTGTAAATTGAGCTTATTGTTATTGAGACTTATTGATATTCTCGATGCATTTTGGGGATCAGTGGAATCTAATACATAATCTAAGTTAGGCAATATAAAAGTATAAAAAAAAGTCCTATTTTGATAGTTTATGCATGAATCTATCTTGTGCTAGTCAGAGTCCAGTATGTAAATTCTGATCGGTTTCTGTCGATTACTGCAGAACTTAATGTTCCTTGCACTCTTTACTGAATAAGCCCAAAACTTGTATGTGCAATGTAATTTACAGCAACTACGGCTTTTGATTGATGGGCATTTTAGTGCGTAGCTATGTTAAGGTGACAGTACCTTTTCATGACAAACAATCACTGTATGCTAGTCATCAAGAAATTATGGGTAAATAATCTGTTGTGAATATATTCCTTCATGTAAATGCCTAGCAGTGACTAGACGTATACAGCTTTTGACATTTCAAACCACAGACACTCTGCTGATTGCATTATGATTTTGTGTTCACCAATGATTTGTGTTAATTCCCTTATTGTCCATGAAAGCCTTAAAGAGAGTCAGAAAAATCATTCGGAATATATGAATGCGTTGACAGCAGAGTTCCTACTCAAGCTGTATTATGTGAAATCAGAAGCTGAAAAGTACATCATTGCATATAAGTGTTAAACATATTGAAACAGAGATTTATCAGGAAAAACACATTTCCTATGCTAATGTCTGCCACTGCATTGCACTCATTCATCAAGTCTGTTGGTAAAAAGTGAATATAAAGTAGGATGTAAAATGAATGTAAATGTTCAGATGTTAAAAACCAGCAAAAATTATGTTACCTACGGTATGTCTGTATATAATGAAGGAGAGTTGTTTATTTTCTAGATTTCGCTCTGCAAGCTCAACATAGCTGAACCTCATATAAGAAGAGAGTACTGCCTATGAATCCACTGCTTCCTTGTGGACAAGGCTACAGTGGCCAGAGGGAAGATGCCCTGCTTTGAGACAAAGGATATATGGTCCTCATTCCCATAGGTTAAATAAAGAAAGTTTTCTATTGGGGTGATTTCTCTTAATTTCCTCCCAGGAAAGGAAGTGATTTGAAGTCTCTTCAACAGGGTCATAAGCACAAAGCCAAAATACATTTTAGTAAAGTGGGTAAAAGTGAGTACTTCTGACAGTGTTTTTATTATTTCCTGTCTTTGTGACAACAGTGAGGATCACAGATAGAAATAAAAACTGTAGAGAAATTTTAACTCTTCCCCTTTAAAAAAAACAACAACATTTTTCAGTAGGTCTCAAGTACAACATTTAAATTTACAGCATGGCTGCAATGTACCGGAAAATGCTAGCTGCCTGTCTGTTATGCTGACGCTCTGGCTAGCAACAAGTATGCACATCAAGTAAGTTCTTATGAACAGTCTTTTTCTGAGTCAGTGACTTCAAATATTGAAATCAAAGGGACAGTGTGACACCTAGAAAACCAGCACAGGCAGGATGGGGGTTCAGCAATGGAATCCTCTGTATTATACTCTGGAAAGGTTTTCATTAAGTTAGTCTACCTAAGTCTGGAATGTAGATGGGAATAACTTCTATTGTAATCTTTTTCTGCTATATATATTATATGGGTTTTTTTCTGTGAAGCTATTGATCCAGGGGAAAGGGAAAGAAGGGCAATTTTTAGGGAGGGAGATACAGTATCTTCATAAGTTTCATTATAGATGTTAAAGATCTGTATGTGTAGATCAAGGGACATTCCCACCAGATAGTTCCTCTTGGTCTTCCTTATCTCCAGCATGAGTCCGGAGTGTCTGGAAAAAATGTGGTGTAAAGAGACTGGGTCTGTATACCACCTGGAGAGTGTCTTATCATTTTTTTACTGTGCATAGCAAGAAATTTAGGATTTTTGCGTACATATGAAGGCTTTGTGCCATTACTCAGGGAACATGGTGTGATCCAACTCTTGATTTCAGAGAAAAGGGGAAAGTAGTCATCATATCTTGCCTGGAGCAACTTATTAAGAAGAGACAGCATGAAGAAAGGTGGTTGTGAGAGAGCACAGTTTATTGAAGTCTGTGTATTTGTGAGGTGGAATACAAGGTTCTGCAGTAATAAAAAATTTGCATACACGCAAACCAATTATTCCCTGAAGAATCTGACAAAGGTGTGAAAGAACCTGAGGTTAGACTTATGAAGTAGCTGTCTTCTGGCCATATGGATCAATTGTAGCTCCCAAAGGAAGGGGTCAAAATGCCTTTCGGTAGGTCTGTGTTGATAAAAAAAATGGTGTGGGGCTGGGGAGAGAAGATAGTTTGTGTGACTATTGGACCAAGTGCCATGTTTGTATAGTGGCAGATGTGAGGGGAGAGATGGCTTTATTGAATGGGTATCAGTGGCGTAAACCAGAGTAACGGGCACACGGGGCAGAATTAAATGTTACACCCCCCTCCCAGTGATATGTGGGGTTGTACAGGTACAATGAGAGCATGCCGGGACTTGTCGTAATTGAACGACAAGTCCTAGCATGCCCTCATTGTCCCTGTATACCCCCCCCCCCCCCACAATTAGAGCTACAAGTTCCAGCATGCCCTCATTGTCCCTGTACGCCCCCCAAACATCACTCAGGGTACTGAGATATAGGGGACTGTACAGGGACAATGAGGACATGCTGGGATTTGTAGTTCCCTGTATGATAAGAGGCTGTAAAACCACTAAGCCATTTGGTCTTGGTCCTCATATAAACTCTTCAGTTGATACCTGCTGAACCCAGATGAACTAAATGGTGTTTTTATAATAGAACACAGAATAGTTGAAAACTATTAAAGTTGCTGCTTTCGCATCAGATTGTGGGGG